AGTTTGTTTCAAGCCCCATAAAGTGGTATAAGTATCCAAAGCACAGCTGAGGGCGGCATACGTTTCCAGCTTCAAGGCATCGTAGTGCCGCTGACTTGCATCGCCAAGCACTTGCCTGAAAGATGTGAGTTCGTCAACCTTAGACAGGCAAACGATCGGATTCGGTACAGGAAGTACTTCCACTAGTTACTAACTGGTTTCTTCCACCCGATCTAGTTCGATACTATCGCTTTTTCCTCAGCAGTTGAGAAAACGACGGGAGGTGCAATCGAACTATGGTTCGTCATTTTCGATGCCAGTAAAATGTAGTACCGCTAAGCATGTAATGCACGCTGCCGTGGCACGTAATCCCAGCAAGCGTTAGACGTCTGAACAGCAGGAGGTCTATCGATCAATTGAGGAAGGTATAAAAATCACGTAAAACGGCGTTGCGTGACCATTGGCGTGTGTCGACTGCTCGGCTGGCTAGTGTGAGTGGTAAGCAATCCGCGAACAGCTGAAGCAAACGGAGCGAAGCCATGTGCGCATGTGACGTATACTCGACCAACGTATCAACAAGTTGCCTAATGAGCCCAGGCAATCTGGACGTAAAGTGAGTGCCTATTGGACTTAGATATTAATTTCTACGAAGGCGATAAACTATGAGGTCATTATAGCCACCAGTAGTCCACGGAAGAAATATTAGTAGGCACCTACTTACTTGTCGTCGAAACTCTGCTGCTGAATTGCATCATCTCCGGCGTATTATTGAAATCCGAGTGTTTAGTTAAATACATTGGCGCACAATGGTTCTCCAGTAAACTTACCGAAAATCAACTACATCAGTTCGCAAATGCATGGCGGCCACTTTTCATTGGCAAAACCCAGGCGCGCCAAGCTTCTACTGATGCCGGGCTTGAGGCACCATCCTAGCTAGGAAGATGCGGCGCTTCGCTACTTCTACAACCACCAGTAATGTGCAGTAAACGATGCTCTGGTACTTCATGTCACGGGCTCGATCGGATGCTGTCTCCGATTAAGATACCATGCGCATGTCTCGTGGCCGTGGTTTATCGCCAACCAGCAGCCACTCTGAAAATGGATGGTTGTTTAACCTTCGCCTCACCGAAGTTAACAGACTTGCTACAAAAGTTTTCTTACTGGTTTCAATATGCATGATCCTGAGGTAACGGCATTTGCAGTTGAACGGTTCATTTCCTAGACAGGACTCAGAAGGACCTGGTATGCCTGCAAGGCTAAGCCCAACCCAGCGACTTGGGAGGGCTTCCCGACCCCTCACCGTCATTGTACTACAGTTGTCTGTGAGAACAAAGTTACCTAGCAACGGTGCTCAGCCAAAAGTCTTCCGGCAAACGACAGATTACTGTAAAGCTTACAGTATTTGCGTGTTAACGGACTTCGCAGAATGCAGCACGACCTTCCTCGCTCTCCACAAATGTCGGTAGGGCCCAGTGCTGCGAGATTACAACGCGCCCCGGTTTCTGGACTCGCAGCCAGTACCTGTCACACGGACCCATCCACTTAACCCACTCTATTATTTATACATGTAATTCACAAGCCAGAAACCGTGCTAAGGATGTTTCTCTCAATACGTGAGCATGACTCTTTGGGAGTCGGTAACATGCTTCGAAAGACATAGAAAGCTACGGGCACTAAGTTAGCCGGAGATCTGTTGCGGCTCTTCCATATATGCTTCGATGAAGGGCAGGTCCCTTTTATAGGGAAGCCTAGCAGCAACAATGCAACTTTTAACGGAAGTAGCTGTTCATATCCCGGAAATTACCACCGGATGACTTTCCTCACTATGCTCTCAAAGGGATGAAGTGGTCAACGCTGAGGCTCAAGTTGGCTAGCTGAAAACACGTCAGTTTTGGCCCAGGAGCAGCATCGCTTCTGTCGACCTCAAGCATGGGAGCAACATCTGCTGATAGCAGGAGATAGCTGGACCAAAGCGGCCGACTGTTAGACCAACATCGACAGCGCCTACCTGAACGCTTCAAAAATTTCCGGCTGCGTTGCTCACCTCTTACGGCCTTACAAGCTACATGGCCATGGACTCTGGGAGCCTGATATTTCATGGTCCAACTGCTTGTTTCGACAAAGGAGGTATCAAGCGCGTGGTAGGGGATCACTTTCCAACCCAACTGAAACAGGGTGCGCGGGGCTATGTGCTATGACCGCAATTGTTTCCGAACTTTAGCTACAGCTTGGAGTTTTGGCGAAACTAATTTCGGAAATTTCGCCGACGACGTTGAGGTACGGCTGAAGCTAATCAGTAGTGAAGACTGTTTAAGCTAGCCTTCCGCTTGACAGCTTAATCGTATTTTTACACTAGTGGCAGGATTGTATACCCGGGGGCTCGCCTTAATTACAGGTATCCTTACCACCTGGTTAATTTCGACAAACGCTTGAAGTTCCATTTCATGTTATGGTATCGTGATTCATTTTGGATTGCTATCAAATCAATGTAGCCTGGCCAAGTACTACTCCACCCAAACTCGTGGGCTCACGCCTTTACGCGCAAGTCATCAACCTTTATTGACCTGCAACGGTACCAAGACAAACTCTGGATTCATTAAAATGTGACGACAAAAGCAAAATGCGAAGACACAGGTAGCCTTTACAACCTGTTGCTGCATTGTTTGAGATAGGCTGGCGCCCAAAACTGGGGACTAAGGTAGCTGGAACTACTATACAGAAGAACACACCACCAACTTATTGTATTTCCATGTACACGCTAGTAAATCCTCGTGTAGGTGGGACAGGATACCATCTGGCCGGGTCCGACCTACCATACAGCACAGTCAGCCGTCAGTAAATGCCCGGTCGCATTTTCACACACCTTAACCTGCACCAAATGCAAAGCGCCGACTCCTACTCGGGGGACTAAGATTATTCTATACGGATAACTTATTGCACAACCTATCTTGGTATAATCTGACTTATTAAGAGTGAAGATATTCCCTATACCTACATTTGTCTAGCAATTGTTGGTGTCAACCTTCGGAGTTAGCTTAGCGCTGTAATTCAGAGGTACAACTAAACTTTACGTTACTACCGACCTGAACACGACTTGCTTCACCATTACATGCATGGCATTCACGGGTGAGCAACGAGGATCATACCGCAGTCCAATGCTGCAAGGTGCAAGGTGCTTCACCTCCGTCATCAGCCAGTGAGGGTTCACAAGCTCCGTGTACAAACCTTGCAGATGGCGCACATGAGTGTGACCTTGAGACAATGCTACACAAAGATACAGGTTACCTGAAAAATTCGAGATTGCATCGAGAACCGAGGGTCTACATGGCAAACTACTTCTCAGTGCGTTCGGGCGGTTTGATCCCCAATCTTCTCATGAATGGTCAACGCCCGCCTGCGACCGCACGTGAAACGCACCATCCAGGCGCTACATGCATGGCAGCAACAAGACCTTGCAGCTTTCGAGACTTCTTAACGTACAGCATTCAGGCACGACACCAGCTTCCTCCAGCTGCCCTACCAGCTTTGACTGAACTCCCTAAGAACGTACAGCAGTCGATGTTAACGCCTGCGGGTGGAAGTAAGGTTTTACCAAATTACTAACTCGCAGGATCCAGCCGACCGGCGAGACAAGGAAAGACAAGACGCAGGGGCGTCTAGATGATCACCTAGCGTACCACTGGACGTTGATGACTATCTGCTTAAATCAACTTCTGATGGCCTCTTTTTTAACCCTACAGATCTTTTCCACTCCATAATAAGTAATAAAAAATGTACACCATATTCAAACCACTTGGCAGCTTGTTTGCTTCCGAAGCTGTGCCACACTCGTTAGGCTCTGTTTAGCATACTGGGTCCAAGCTTGCCTGTTTTAATTAGTTCAGAACAAAATGTAGGGTTTTGCGAGTTCGTGCCAGGCGGGACAATGGGGTACGAGGGCAAATGTACCCTGAGCGTTTACTTACTGTGGGTATGTACTCAGTGCACTAGCGTTGGCTCAACGAGCTCTGATCCTATCTACATATCTTAACGGAAAAGTTTGGACCTGACGTGTCTTGACAATGAAGTTCTGTTAAATTTCCTTGACTTCTCAGTCAGCACATGAAGCTAAACAAGCCGCGTTTTGACAGGATCCGTGTGGAGACTCGGCTGTCGCGTAGCGTTATCGGGTGTTGGAATCCGCTTCCAACCTACTGTTAGGGGTTATGTGCGCAAGTTAGAGACTCTCCGATCGCAACGTGTAAACTTCCCGTTCCCTTGACCTTGCGCGTATTTCTACTTGAGTTGCTTTTTATGGTTTGCATTACTTGTCGGTATTATCATCCACTTCAATGACTTTTCCGCCCTTCACTTCATTTATTTTTCTTACTTCACCTGACCGGCAGGGCGGGGAACGCTAGTGAAGGAAACGTGGGCAATACCTGGCTAACCAGGGTGTGGTTCTTGTGTTTCGTTTTACATTGAACGACGTTTCGCAACGTAGCTTTGCTTGGCCTGACATCCCTCAAAAAGTAACATTATGGAATGATGCTTAGCGTTCCGGTCCCACTTGAACTGGAATGCGTCACTGTACCAACCTAGTTCTCGACAATTACTGCGAAAGAGGTCAGCAGCAGAAATAAAGATTAAGCACTTGTATTTATTAGACTTCTATCGGCGCTGATCCGATGCAAACCCCTTGATAGGAGATAAAATGGCGATGTGGATTCAAACAACTGAGGTTCCACAAAAATCGGTCAGCATTTAATCAGCGAGTATACTGAAAGGTGCTTATTTTGCTTGTACTTTAATCAGTTCTTGTTAAAATATTTTTCCTTAGTTTCTTATCACCGTTTTGTTTTAAATGACAGTGTGTTAAAACAAGGTGCTCATGTTGGTCTCCTAAAAGAAAATATTGATATATCCTTACCTATAAAACTGTTATAATTAAATTTTTTCTTAGTTTTTAAGCAGCTTTTCACCGAAACAGAGCTTTCCGCTACCAGTGTGAACCGAAGTCAACCAATGGGAATTTTGTGTACCCTTCGCATACCCGTCCAATCAGAATGGAGGGTCAACTCGTTATATAGGCAGTCAGGGCTCATTACTGACGTTGTTCACAGCAATGGCGCGTACCAAGCAGACGGCACGCAAGAGTACTGGCGGTAAGGCTCCCCGGAAGCAACTTGCTACAAAGGCTGCGAGAAAGAGCGCACCAGCCACCGGTGGCGTGAAGAAACCCCATAGGTACAGGCCTGGCACCGTCGCGCTACGGGAAATCCGACGCTACCAGAAGTCGACGGAGCTACTCATCCGGAAGCTCCCATTCCAGCGCCTTGTTCGCGAGATCGCCCAGGATTTCAAAACCGACCTCAGGTTCCAGAGTTCTGCGGTCTCCGCTTTGCAAGAGGCTAGCGAGGCCTACCTCGTCGGCCTGTTCGAAGACACCAACTTGTGCGCTATCCACGCTAAACGTGTCACAATCATGCCGAAGGACATCCAGTTGGCACGCCGGATTCGCGGCGAACGTGCTTAAGCCAGTTTTCCCTGTTGCGATGTGAACGCCTCAACGGCCCTTTTTAGGGCCACCACGTCCTGGCTTCCATGTCTTGTCTTTGCATTTGGTCGGTGGGTTCTAGGTGTTAAGAACGGTTGAATGATGCCTGTCCGTCTCGAGGGTTTGGCTTACTTGCTGTTGGTTATCCTGGTCAGGGCAAATCTTGTCGTGGAAAGAATCTGCGGAATGGGTGGTCGACCTAGTGGTGTGATGCGTAGGTCACACTGTCCTTACCTTGTCTGGTGAGAAGTCCGCGGCTCGCACTTGTGAAGCACCGAACTGGCAAGCACCACTTTCCCTAGACGTCACTCGTAAGTGCCGCTAGCTTATCGATCAACTTGGCGTCTAGACCCAATGTTCTAGTCCGTCGGATTGCCAATGGCTCACTTCCTCCCCAGGTCGGAAGGAAATCCCAATATCTAAAGTAGCCCTACCAATAGCGCTTGCCCTCGGCAACGGCAAGCTTGCATAGTTTAGCGGACACTTGTCTACCGGTACGCTGTGCAAAAAGGGGTTTTCAGTTTGTTCGAATAATGGCACATTGTAAGATTTGATTGCTTTCAGATATGAACTCGTCACGACGCACGCTTACCAGAACAACGGGGCCTACCGTCTGGTCACTACAGAGACCAATTGACATCTGGTTCTGAAGTTTGTTATGGTCATAAGTTCGGTTTCTTGTTGCCACCGTGGCTTTGTCACATTTTCTGCTAAAGGGTTTCAGCGCGTGACTACATTGATTCCGTACTAGTGCAGTCGGAGTGCGACTTCAGCTTCATTGGATGACTGCGATTTGGCTAGTCAAAACAAATCAGTGCCGGTGGTGCATTTGGTAACCTAGTGAATGTATCCCAAAATTAAGTGTACTCGGTATTCGTCAGGCGTTTTTTCTCGGATCATGAAGGGCGAGTGGGCCTGGACCTTATCGTTCGAGAGTGAATTAGAGGAGTGGACGACGCCCAGATCAATCCGGCTGGCGTTTAGTTCGAAGTTGGGCGAACTGCTTCACTGAGAAGAACGGTACACTGACTGATTTATGGGCAGTAACCACACTGGAATGCTGAATGGTCTCAAAAACATCGATAGTACATTTTAACCTCAGGTAATTAACAAGTAATAGCGATGATAAGTCAAGCTCCCCAATATCGTTCACATTGGTGGAGCGGTTCAAGGACCGAACCGTGATAGGCTGCGACGCACGCGTATACTTTGCCCTCCCCTCCAAGACTGGACACCCAGTGAAGGGCGCGACTCGGTAACCCATCTTTTGCGATGCCCTCAATTGGGATACCGTGTCACATGCTTTCGCAAAATCCTTGAACACGTCCACTATGTGGCCATTGTCCACTGCATTAGCGAACTGTCACGAGGATGAAACCACTGAGCCTTGCACCGCCACGAGGACCGGCCCGCAGCAACGATTCAGTCTCCTGGAGTCAGTAATCGAGGTCGAGTGTGTTAGACAGGTAGGCACCTTGTCAACATTTACATCAAGCGCAGCCACACCGGAAAGCAAACACGCAAAATTGACTCACAATAGCAGATTTGGACAAGCCAAATAAAGTGGAATGACTGCTATCCGGATTTTAACAAAAGTTAATCTAATTGTATGCACACAGCCTTGTAGTAATAGGCATACTCATGAGTTCCATCGGCCCGCAGCAACGCTGGAATTAGCGGGTTCAAACCGCAGCGCATTTTGACAAGCAGAGCTTCGTAGGCTCCATAAGCCAAATCATTTTCGTACATAGCCGAGCTATCATCGAGTGCCGCATCCGCTTCTATCCTCGCTATCCCTATCCTAAGTATTGTTTGATGGTTTGGTAGATCCTCCTGAATCTGGACCGCTTCGTGAGCAGGTACTTGCCAATAGGGGCTAGGCTCATGTGTTTAATTCTCGCGGCTGAGGGGTAAAGATGGGGGACCTCGATGAGATAGGAATCAAATTTATCAAAGGCCACCTGAACTGTATCGGCCATTGCGATCTCGCCTTGGTTCGCATTCCTTGATAGTTCACACGCCATGTTTGAATATAACCCATAGGCACTAGTGACGCCTAAACAGAACATTACTGAAAAATATACGAACATGGTCACTAGCGCCTAGAGAAGAGCCGCAAGCAATTTCATCTACGAAATCAAATGACGTTGTAAAAACAGCATCCAAACTATAAGATTGTTGGGCGTCTACGTACTTAGTGGGGAAGTCCAAGAACTGATGCAACTGTACTTATTGCGCACCCTCAATATCAGTGCCGAAAGTGCACCTGGGTTTCAAGAAGGAGCAGTCTAACAAACTTTCGAATGGTTGAAGTTCCTAGACAACTGTTTGCAATCTGAGAGCGATTAAAATCAAGCATCTCCTTGGGTATTTTATGAACAACAACCAATGTACATTACTGGGTCTTGGAGTACGCGCCGTGTGTCTGGATTGAAATCTCGATTCAGGCTACAGTTTGCTTCGAAGCATACCTACTCAACTCAACCACAAATGTAATTTGAGTCGAGGAATCACTAATCACAGACGACAGAGCCTCAACGGCTTTAGCCACGGAGTGAAACAAGCGGGCCCTCAAAACAATAGGCTAACAGCTCTCGCGAAGACCAGCGGAGCGATCAGATTTAAACAGTGTGTAACCATGGAGATGAACTACGCCGTTTTTGAGACTCTGAGACTATCACGTTTCAGTGAATGCAAGCAAAATGTGATGACGCCATCAATAAACACACTCATGGGTCTTAGACTATGGACATTACTAAGCACTACCTAAAGACAAAGCATGGACCAGCGCATGGCAACACTTCGTCAGCCAATTTAACGCCCTGGTTGATGAAGCGTCGAAAACTAAGGCTGCCTACTCGAGAAACGTGGACTCATTTGTACGAGGCAGGACACGCAAATGTATAGCAGTGCGAAACCCGACGTGACATATCTATAAGATCCATCCAAGTACCGAAACCTGGATGGCTTATGAGACCCAACGTAACCATTGTACTCAACCGGTTTGCGAGGACAAAATCGCAGACCAGCGTAGTCAGGCAGTGTATGTGCTTTTAAATGACAAACTTCTGTATCACCGTGTAAACAAGGTGCGCAAGGTGAAGCGTATAGTTCCTCCTTTTCACACAGCACATGAACGGGCACTGACCACGAAGAATGCAGCGAATACTACTCTGCGACTGCCATACGCCACAACCTTTCGGCGCGTTCAGCAGCCAACTAACACTATCGCAAGCGTTATCACACCACTAAAACTCACTCTTTACGACAAGAGCTGCATTGAAAATGTTGTTGTGTATGCGTAGCCATGGCTATCACCTGAATTCACTTGAGGTGGTAGGAGAGAGCCTAGATGAGCTTTTGTGTCGATTCTTCTGACGGTGTTTTGACGAAATGTATGTGCTGGACATGTAAAAACACGGATGAGTACTCCAATTCACAAGGGAGGTAGTCGTTAAGGTCCAATCAATCACCGTCCTGTTACGCTTCTACCGGCGCTATCAAGCTTCGCAGAAGCCAATGTTGTCGATACGATAACGACATACTTGGGAGGATACAGCTACGTTGCAAAAGGGATATCATGACTTGCGACAAAATCGATCCCACACTACCAAACTATTGTTAACACGGTCCATCTAGACTCAGGCAGTGAACACTGGTGTGAAAGTTGATGTAGTTTGGCGCGACTTCTCAAAGATATTCAACCCGTTAAAGTCTAACCCATTGTTCATGGTATCTTTCTTTTAAAACTCCAGAGCTTCGGCAGTGATAATCGTCTCCTCGTTTCAATTAGTAACCGTCACTTCCTTTAGGAGGTTGACGATCCCAAACCCAACTTTCGTTGCGCCCCGGATCCTTCGTATGATTTAGTGGTCCACCGGGTTCGGAGCTGTGGCAAAACTTGGCCCCGATGTTCAGCAAGGAACCAACAAATCTTATTGACCCGAACTTTCTCCTTTTCACCGATCTTGTCAAGATATGGCAAGTGTTTAATAGCCAAGATCGCTCCAGTTTCCTCTAATGTGACTTAGGCACTGCTCATCAGTGGTCAGCCAGGAGCATTTTCGGGTTTGACGCGGAAAGTGGTAGGTTAGTTATAATGCAACACTGATCCCATAGCGTGTGTAAACTTGCAGGAAGTCTCGCGAAGGCATGACCTAGGGGAATTAGTTCAGAATGATCGCGACCACTAAAATCTGTCCGAAGACATGACCCGATGAACATGGGATAATATTGTCATTGCGGATCCATTTGAACTTGTAAGCAGTCTGGTGACAGACCAGATTACTTACACATCTGTACACAATGTTACCAGGCTACAAAACGCAAATAAACGAGCTATCTACATTGCCTGCTTCATTATCTTAGGCGTTCCAACATCTCAAGCCGACCTATCAATTCCCGGTTCACGGGATTACCATAGCGTTCCGGTTCCAACTGAACTTGAACTGCACCATAATACGAGATTTGTTAGGCACTAGCTTCTTACCCGTTCCACTACGAAACACCGGCAGATGGGTGAAGTGACACAACACCCCGGGGAATCCATGGGGGCAATCAGGACGGCCCCAATTAGACTGACCCGGTGACGCGTGGACGGGCATTTCCGCTAAGGTACACAGAGCAAAACCGTCATGTGTGGGTTAAAGAGTTAATGCCATCCATCTCGTTAACTCGGGGCCAGCGTCGAATGGACCAACGGACAGATGACCTTGTGAAATTGTCTTTGGCCAATCGGAGCAGAGTGCTTGTTGGTTGTGGGGCAGTAACCAGAGTCCGATGGCTACACCAATTGTTGTAGCTCCAGGCCGATTTCTCGCCGTTATGATTGGTTGAATTCCCACCGCGCGCTAATGTTTGATTGGAACAATCCCAAAAAGTGATTCGACTTAGTGAAGAATACAATATAGTGGAATGGTGGAGTGCCGGAGGGTTGTTCCCGTCTCCGTTTGCGGCAAACGTCTCCTCCCGGTATGAGTGCTCCGGCTGCTGCTCCCTCTGGCGCGAAAAAGCCCAAGTCATCGAAGCCTAAGGTTCCTGCGACTCATCCGCCTGTCATTGACATGATCAAGGCTGCCATCACTGCCGCTAAGGACCGAAAGGGCACTTCCCTCCCAACCATCAAGAAGTACGTCAGCGCGAACTACAAAGTTGATGTCGAAAAGCTAGGCCCCCACCTTCGGCGCGGCATAGTTCACGCCGTCGACAAGGGTGTCCTAGTTCGCGTTGGTAACAAAGGCAAGGGGGCTTCCGGGAGCTTCAAGCTTGCGGACAAAAAGGTGCCTGAGCCGAAGCCGAAAGCAGCCGCGAAACCTAAGGTTGCAAAACCCAAGAAAGCTGCCGCGCCTAAAAAGCCTAAGGCCGTGAAGAAACCTTCAAAACCAAAGAGCAAGACGCCGTCAAAGCCTAAAGCTGCCAAGAAGCCAAAGGCTGCGCCAAAGAAGTCAAAACCATCCAAGAAGCCGGCACCCAAGAAGACTCCCAAGAAAAAGTAGATTTCTTCAGGCTCCAGGCAGTTGACGCTGCTACAGCGGAGAACGCGACCACGGCCCTCTTTAGGGCCACACGTACTGATTTCCAACCCGTTTTCTTCCCACAGCTGGGCTTTGTATGGATTCCATTGCAGCTCTCGAATGCTACCTAATCTGTCACTTTCTGGCGTCATTACTGTAGTGAAATGTCACGACTTACGGGGGTGACACTTGGAGCGGTTTTTATTGTCATGATTCTTAAGTATGCGCGCTACCGTGAAATCATTCCATGCCAGGTTTTCCTCTACGCGACAGCGGGTTCGGCAAAGGCCCGGTTACCGTTACTCGGGTCCGTTCACTGTCGTTTGATTGATATTCTCGAATCACTTGCTCAACAGAGGTGCCAGTGTAGAGAATGTGAACAGTAGTTGTTTCCCGTGTTCTGTCGGATCGTCTGCAGTTGAACATTAAGATGATCATCCCGCGATTCGCCTCTAGTCCGACACGTGGTGCACTCAAACGGAGGCGGGATCAACCTTAACGTAACCGCCCAGCAGGCAATGCTAGGACACGATACGTGGGCATTTGGTTACATGGTGTGGCAATGTCTTCGTTTTAGATCCATCTGCACTTCAGTCTGCTATCGTTCCAGTCCCGTTTGAACTCGACTGAGGTGCGACACAGTCGTTTTAGTGGTGGATAATACCAATGAATGTAGGAAAGCACAGTATAACTAGGCAGAGGAACGTTGTCAGAGAGGGAAAGGTCTTAATGCTATCCGACAGCAGGCTAGCCACGGGTCGTCTGAAGCGAGTTCCAGCGCTCGATAATCGCGTTTCCGGTAAGAAAGCAGTTTCGGTAGCTTCATGAGAAGGCCACAGTCTGGCTAAGCAGCAACGACGTGCCGTCCAACCCCAGATGACGAGTGCGTGGAGTACTATCAAACACGGAGCGTTTGCCCCCAAAACCGCTGCTACCCACGAGTTCAATTCTGTCCCGAACGGGACAAGTGGGATTTCTACCCCACTCACTAGTTACCTCGAACGGAACACCCTGGTTAGTTGGTAACAGTCACAAACTTGATCAGTCACCATATGACGTCAGGGACCATCAGCAAATACTATCGAAGATACCCCAAGCTCCCCAGGGATATGGTTTGCATTGATGGAGGACAAGTTCAAGTGGGACTGGAACGATAGGATGAATCGCGTAAGTGTACCTTCTTCAGCGGGTCGTCAATCCAGGAGTTGATAGAGGTGCTCCGACTTCTTGGTGGGTCTAAAAGGAAAACGCCCTGGTCCACCAATTTAATGCCCACGTTCCTTACATTAACTGTCCCAGCTATGTCAGTTACGTGAAGAAAAAGCGGAGGTAAGGGAAACCAGTTAAAAGAAGAGAATAATACCAATGGCGAGGAAAAGTAAAGAAAATAGTGTCGAAATATGAAGATGGAAATTAGTCAGGAAAATGGAAAGGTTTCGTGTTGCCACCCAAGAGCGGCCAGTTGACGCTCAAACCCCTTAACCGTAGCTTCCTTGACAACATTTTCTGGAAGCAGGTTCCAGCGCTCGACGCGATAATTGTATCTCCGCTCTAACTCGATCGGACCGCGGTTTGTCCAGCTTCATACAATGCCCGCGAAGACCAGGTAATCTAGCAGGACTAACTAGCCAGGACAAATCAGGGCCAACCTTCCCAGTCGAAATACGGTAGGTTAGGATTAGGTCCCGCCTGATCCTTCGATAGTGCATTGACTGCATCCCCAAACTAATTAGGCGTTCGGGGTACGTTTGCCATTGACCAACCTAGCACCGACACGCAACACCGTTTCTAGTGCCATTTTGTCCCGGACAAGTCATGGTGGACAGGCCTGGACGCAATATTCTAGGTGGGGTCGCACAAACGCTGAGAAAAGTTTCACAAACACATTAGCGGTTGGGGTCCCGAAAGAACGACGGATAAACCATAACATCCGGAACCCTTTACTAGCCGCCTTCTTCCAGTTGTCGCCAGAGTGTAGTGTGGAACAGTGGACGACACTTAGATCAACCTGATGAGTCACGTGAGGAAGTTCCCTCCCATCGAGCACATAACTTGTAGAGGAAGTAGACGCTCCTATACGCAGCACTGAACACTTTGCCCGGTTTATGGGCAGCAACCACAAGACAGACCATTCCCAGAGCCCGTTGAAGAGCCACAGGACCTCCAGGGATATCAACAATATTTCAGAGCTTTGGGTCATCAGCAAATATGAGCGATGTTACCGCAAGCTCCTCCGGCAAGTCATTCGCGTAGACAGAAAATAGCAGCGGACCTAGGACAGAGCCTTGCGGAACGCCGCTAAGTACAGCTTGTCGAAACGAAAGACTGCTTCCCACACGAATACACTGTTCCCGTCCATCCAGAAAAGCTGACACCCACTGGAGAGCGCGACCAGCTATTCCATACGACCTCAACTTCAGTGAGAGTCGCGAATGAGGGACAGTGTCAAAGGCCTTGGCGAAGTCAATGAACACCACATCCACCGCATGTCCACTGTCTACGGCTTCAGCCCAACTCTCACGATCTACCAGCAAGTTAGTCTAACACGAAAATCCTTTGCGAAAACCATGTTGCTCGACGCAAAACAGGTTAAACCTATTTAAATGGTTCTCCACTGTATCTCGTACTAATTTTTCAAGTAACTTAACGACCACGCTAGTCAAGCTGACAGGCCTGTAATTAGCCGGTAGGTCTTTGTCACCGCACTTGAAAATCGGACAGACAACAGCCTCCTATTCGGTAGGCAAGATACAGCTGTTGAGTGACTTCTGAAACACACAAGTCAGACGTCCACTGAGTTCCACTGCCAATTCATGCAACAATTTTGGATGAACGGAATCTGACCCGGAAGGCTTAGTTGGATTTACCTCTCTTAGCAACCGGAGAACTTGGGACTCAGTTACAGGAATTTCATCCAGAGACTCTTGAAGCTAACTCTTTGCATGGCGTATTTGTTTCGCGGACAAAGGACAGGATCGGTCTGAGGACCTGTCCACGTGGCACACCGCTTGCATAAACGATAGGCTTCGATCCACGCATACACATTGCTCTCCCCTCCAAGGATGCAGACTCCCAGTGAAAAGCGCGACCAGATACACCGTAGGAGCTCAGCTTTTGTCATAGCCGCAACTGGGACTCCTTGCTTTCAAAAAACTGCGTCCGCTAACTGTCTCGAGCAAACAATAAATTCATTAAATTGGCGAATAAGACGAAGGCTGGTAGATGCATGCGTTTCATATTCTCTCCTCACTACCATTAACCGATATGCATAGATATAGCTAACAGTGGGTGCAGAACAGATGACGGAAGTTCACACCTCTACGCTCAAGACAGCTGACATAGTTGTTTCTGAACGCACAAGGCTGGCTTCATCCGGCTTATAGCGACAGCCTCAGCAAACCGAAGGAATCGGGGATTAGTGTGACGTAACATAACTTTAAATACAAAGCCCTGCTCTATCCGGTGACCCGAGTGTTTGCCTATCGAGGAAGCCTATTGGAGCCAATTTACTGTGTACACCAATTTGTATGTGACTGCGGAAACAGACACAGGCAAAATAAATAGAACGCTGACTTCCCGAATAAAGGAGCATGTACCAAGATGGGTTCAGCGTGAAGTTGCTCAGATTACGTACCCTCGTCAGATTCCATGTTTGCGCAGACCGCCGGCGTCCTCGATAGGCGAAACTAATAGACTCGGGTCACGGATAGAGCTGGGCTCAGCTTTCAAAGTTGTATAACGTCACACTAATCCCCGCTTTCTTCGGTTAGCTGAGGCTGTCGCTATAAGCCGGATGAAGCCAGCCTTGTGTGTTCATAAACAATTATTTGTCAGCCTAAAGCTGCATTGGACGTAGAGATGTGAACTTCCGTCATTCGTTCTGCACCTCAAGCTTATCTGGTTGCACCTACAGTTACCTATATCTATGCATATCGGTTATTGTTAAGGGTACTGAGGAGACAATCGAAATGCATGCATCTACCAGCCTTCTTCTTCCAGTGCTTTTCAAATGGTTGAAGGGAATTAACTGCTTTAAATTGGGAAATCCCTTTCCGAATTCGTGTTGTGCACTACTGAATAGTTAAGTAGACTCAGGTGACCTTCCAACGAATCTCAGCAGCTCTTCAAGCAGCTTGTCCACGGCGCTGGTCATACTGAATTGGCAACATCCGTGTTCGGGTTTGCCCGTCACTGTGACCTCCACTGGGTCAGCCATTGGACGCCTGCGCCTACAGAGGGACCATGAGTGGCTTGCGCTGCACTACCCACAGTTCCATCCACACACCCCATATCCGGTGTAAATCTTCAAGGAATAAGACCGAGAGACAAATGGATGGGAGTCACGTTACATCAACGGAGCCGGCCTACACTCCTTCAACATGCACAGCAACAGCATTCAAGTCTGTTTGGGAATCATGCGTACCAGTCGTGGACACGGTGGTGGCTGGGCCGTTCCACACAGGATGGAACCACACGTTGAAACTAACACCGTCACGAGGACGGTGCGCGCCGTGCCTCCAACTATTAAGTCTCCTGGAGGCAATGTAATCGAGTTGGAGGGTACTAGACAAGTAGGCAACTTGTCAACATTCACATCAACGCAGCCAGGCATTGTATTTCACACGAGAGGTTCCATGTATCAAGCGCACTTGCGACGGACAGTCAGTCGAGTTTACTCCGACGAAAGTCATACTGACTGGCCTGTAATTGACAGAAAGGCTACTGTCGCCATTTTTTGAGATAACAGATGACAGCTTTCTTCCATTCAGACCGTAATGTGCATCTGTCAAGGGATTTCTAAAACATGGTCGCCAGCGGTACGCTTAATTTCGCCGCCAACTCATGCAGAATCTTTGGGTGATTTAAATCAGGCTCAGTTCTTGTAGCATCCTAAGGACTTCAGTTTCCGTCAAATAAGTACAGTTAAACAAGTGCCCTCTGGTAATAAGCTCAGCACTAGTCAACGCGGTCTCACTTACAGC